AGGGGAACAGCAGACAAGTATAGCACAGCAGCTTGCTAGTAAGGATCCAAGTCCATAGGCAGCCCCCATCAGAAGATATTTTACAGAAAAGACACTTTGAAAAGCACTTAGGGTAGAAGTACAGGACAAATGCGTAATTCTTTAGGCTATGCATTCCAACATCTCTGCCCTCCTGATACCAATGTTAAACTGAAACAGGACAGCCACAGCTCTAAAGCTGCTACAAGCAGCAACTGCAGACCTGCCCAGTAACTTCTCAAGCAACTTTTAGTTTTTTTCCCCCCACTCAGAAACATGAGATTTGGCACAAGTGCCTTAAGCTCTTGAGACTGTACTTCACTGGCTTTGGAGAAACAAAGCTCAATGCCAGCCACTGAGGCAAGTCCTGAGCACAAACGATGGGAATCTGCCTTGTCAAGGAACCAAGGCGGTATCAGATGAGGGGACAGTTATGTCAGCAGACAGGCTGACACAGGACAGCCCAGCTGGCTCCAGGGTACAGCCCAGCCTGTTCGTGTCACAGTCCCACTGCTGGCGTATCACCAGCAGGACAGTCACCCTTCACCAGCCCGTACGATGATGACAGTAAGTGTTACAGCAGTAACATCTGAGGAATATAATTAAAACTGCTTTTGTTCACACACACCAAGGAATGGAGGAATGATGACACTTTCCCTAACATGCTCTGACAGTCACCTCTTCCATTCCTTGGAATTCCCATCAAATATGGCATTGGCACAGGAGTTATTTCCCACTTTGTACTAAAGCCCTCGTGGTTTAACACTTGACGTAGTATGCAAGTTCTACTCCATGCTACACATCAAACACAACGATTGATAAGCATAGTAAAATCTCCTCTGCCCCAAACACATACAATCTTACTCTTTATTAAGTATCAAATTGTCTCCAACATAAATTACATCCAAATTACATAAGTTTCAAGAAAGTCAGATATTTTATGTACAATATTTGTCTTGAGTCAGATATACCTTTATAATTTTAACCTATAACGTAAAAAAGCAAACCTACATCAGTACCAAGTAAAGCATTAAAAAGGTAACAAATATATAACTTTTTAGAAATGCTTTCAGAACGCTAAAGTTAATGACAAAGATTTTATAGTGCAGCAGTCTTGGGTTTTTTAGCTCTTAAACCATTTCTCTGTTTCTGCGGATAGCACAGCAGAGAACCATACTGAATATCATGCCGAAGATCTGTAAAGAAAACAAACACGTTAGAAATCGGGGGACCAAAGCACTTTCTGCTCTCAACGTGGGAACAAGCGTAGTCGCTGTTCCTGGCCCAGATGCCACATTAACATTATTCTGCAGTTCCTGTCCCTGCCCCTCCACCCCTAAGCTTCAGTCCTTTCTCACCAATCCCCTCTACCCTCAATACTTCAAAAATAGATCAGCTATAAACCATTGCCATCTCCCAAGATATCTTCGGTCATCCCAGCATATTTGCACCCATGTCATACTTTCCTCCAGAAAAGTCAAACTAGCACCTGTTATCTTACTAGCGCTGTTATTTCAGTTCTCTAACTGAGTCTTTAATTGTTATAAATGAAGCAAAATCAAGGATCCCCGAGACATAACTAGCATAAAGCAGTGGGCTGGAAACACGACCAGTCCATCCCCACCCTACCAATACAACCTCACCACTGCTAAAACTACCAAGAGGCAGATCCTAATCTGAAGCAGAAGCAGGGAGGTCCAGACACCCCTCCCTCTGTGCTGCCACAGGGCCCCGCAGCACTCACCCTGATCCTGCCAGTACTTGTCAGTAGTGGAACAGGCTTGCAGACTACCACACCAGGCACTGTTCAGCAGATTTCTGCCCTAAGTACCCTTTGGCCATACGGCTACGCTCTAAATAATCTGGAAACTCACCATTATTACAGCAATGCCAAGGCCAACTGCTCCAATCACATTCAATTTCGAATTGAAGACATCATCAATGGCAGCAGGGCACGGCTGAAAAGAATCAGACTGTTCATTAGCATTTCACACATATGAAAGGTTTGTTTCTGCTTGCTTGCTTGAGCTCAAGTCTGCTGACTGACTATGCCTTTGACCAAGTCTGCCTGCACTAGAGATGAACTGGCTTCTATTTTCACATCTTTAACGACAGCCAGGATGTTCCAACACAAAAGTTGGTGGAGAAGTTTAAGTCTACTCTTCAAGCATCCAAACCTCTTAACTGCACCCTGGCTACAGCAGCACCCGCTGCTGATCAGGATCAACAGCAGTTGTACCACATTTGGCTTGTTACTAATGGCTCTCAGCATTTAAGTTGCTGTGTTGCTCAGTTCTTCTCAAACAGATCTGAAGCCACTCTTGATATTTCCAATTGCTACTGTAATTTTGCAGGCACATTATGAACACATGGTGCACAGGAATGGCAGGATTGCTCGAGCTGCATGCATGTGCTAGTCCACTTTGAAGCCCCCAGGACAATGAATTACCATTGCAATTGAAAAATTTAAGTACAGTTCGTTCCCCAAAGGCATATGGTAGGCAAGAAAAAGAACAAGGAACTTTTACAGAGGTATACATCTTCAAGATCCTGGTAGTTGGTCAAAGTCTCATCCTAACTCCTATCTTACTTACTCCAGCAGCAGACCACAGCGAGCTGCTGCAAACTACATTTTTCTTTAATTGTTCTTTCTCCACTCCAGAAGGAAAGTTTGAATTAAAGGGATATACTGGCAAGAATTAATCAGTTAAATCAGAATATCAATACAGTACTACTTCTTACAGAGGCACACAGATCAGCCACACCACTACTTCCCTTTAATTTTGTAGTCTATCTACTGTTCTTTCCTACAATTGAGACTACACCATAAACACACCACAAGATTAAGTCAGATGAAGCTAAAAGACAATGAACAAAGTAAAAGCAAACAGTAAAACCTGCATGCTGCCTCAGCTACTCTCATATAGTCTAACTCATAGCAGATCATATGAGCAGGACGAAAGATACAGTCTAAATACAGACTGAAATGTCTCATGTGGCCACATACTGGAATACACAAAATCACCTGTAGTGAAAGGAACAGCACAAGCAATGTGAAAAAAAATTTAAAATCAAGTCATTAATTGAATTCCTGCATTTCGAGAACCTATTTTCTACAGGAAAACCCTAATGGCTTTTTTTGGAGCATGAGGCAAGAACACAAGGTAGTTTTAAGAAAAAAAGGAAAAAGGGATAATTAAGAACTACACAAGACACCTCTCCTGTATCTGTGACACACAGGCACCTTTGCAGCAATATTTCACAGGGGAATCCAGTTGAGAGAACTGGCGTCACAGCAACACTCACCTAAACAGGCCCCCAATTCATTACCCCCCACCTCCTTTTTCTTGCTAAAACTTCAGACCTGCTCCATGCTCTACTTCTCCCAAAGCAAAAAGGGAGGCGACAGCTCCTGCGTAGCACCAGGAAGGTGCTTTAGTCATAGGAGCAACCAGGAGAAAACAGCTCTCTAGCTTTTTTTTTTTTAGGGGAAGTTTTGGCCTTATGCTGTCCATCACACCAGTGAGTTTAGTGACGGCACATTTCCTGTGCAAGTTCAGATTTCCTCCTGCTTGTTCTTTCCACAGTAACAGCACAGTGATTTTCCATAACAGAACTCCTTTGAGAGATAGGTTGCTACGTAGGTGTGACGTGGGAATCTCCCATGGACTGGAAGGCTTTATTCAGAAATGTGTTTCTCATTCTACTTATGAGGCAGAGCTATGAGCAAATTCAGTCATGCTTTACCACTGCAGAAAGCGACTCGAGCACGGTCTTCTTTGGACAGGTGTCCATGAACTGCTGCTCAAGAACTCCTGTAACACCACAGCAGTCTAGCTACAAGAGAAAACAGGAAAAGAGAACCACATTAAATAATCCTTATTTTTGCCCTATATTCGGTAAAAAGGCAAAATGGATTACACTAGGTTTTATTATAGACCTTATACAAATTTGCTTAGCAGTCCTGCCAATGCAACTACTATAAACCTAATTTTAAAAAGCTTTTCACAGAATCACAGAATAGTAGGGGTTGGAAGGGACCTCTGTGGGTCATCTAGTCCAACCCCCCTGCCGAAGCAGGGTCACCTACAGTAGGCTTATTGCATTCAAGTACAAGATTCTGAAAGGAAGATCTAGATGTTAAGTATACATACACACATTAATTTTGGTGACAGCTTGTATTCCTTACAGCGAAAGGTGAGCTCCTCATACTATCAATGACCCAGATCTAGAGTTTCCCAGCTTGCTTTTGAATTTTAGGAAAACAAGAACTAGTTCTATGCATTTCAGAGGTTCAAAGGGAGGAAAGCGTACTGAATTCACTAATAGTAAGCAAAAATATCTTCTCTGCAATCTGTTACTAATACTCCCTTGGTTTCTTCCAGTTAGTAAGCTACTAGAGTTGTACATGGGACTGGATAACATGGAGAATAGTGAACAAGCTGCATTACTGTCTAGTTTAAGCATAACTATGTACTTACAGCTAACTGAAACGCTCTCAGGGTCTCTCTGGCAGCTGGTTGAGACCTCTTTCCGTAGGTTTCCATGTAGAAGTCCTTTAACTCTTCAGTAACCTACAAGATAGCAAAGAGGTGTGGTGTGTTACTGTCTTACCTTAATTATGGAAAACTTGTTTCGAGTTAAGTCAGTCATTAAAAATTTCTGCTATCTACATTGCCAATCCTTTTGACATGTAGAAACAGAGGGTGGAAACAGAGGGTGGACAGCATTTCTCACCTGGAACAGGTGAGCTGAACTGATATACTGACCTTAAAAGCCACACCTAAACAGATAAGATTCAGAGTTTCCGTTCCAAAGCTCTGATCTTCTTAGGTGGAGTATGAAAACCAAGTCTTCTCCCATTGGTTACACAAATATATTCCCTATTAATTTCTGTACCCCAAAAGTTACTCCCATGTAACTAGCAATAGTAGGAGAGGCAATGGCCTCAAGTTGCGTCAGGGGAGGTTTAGATTAGATATTAGGAAAAATTTCTTTACTGAAAGAGTGGTCAGACATTGGAACAGGCTGCCCAGGGAGGTGGTGGAGTCACCATCCCTGGACGTGTTCAAAAAATGTGTAGATGTGGCACTTCAGGACATGGTGGTGCTGGGTTGGTGGTTGGACTTGATCTTAGTGGTCTTTTCCAAAGTTAATGATTCTACAATTCTATATTCCCCTGTCATGTAATACAAGCAGAAGAGCAACCCGGATCACCAGACATGTTATTTTGAAACAAGACAGAATCCTGACTGCTCTTGAGGGGACAGCCCAGGTAAGTCATGTTTTAGATGCAGAAACATTCAGCCCATAGCGGACCTAGCTCATATCTAGAAAGAGTAAAGCTTCACTGATGGCTCGTTTCGCTTCACAGCTCAGCTAGATACTGCCTTGAGAGCACCTCTAGCATGCAACAGCACCTCGGATTCTGGCTCTTCTGCTAACAGTCTCATTTTTAAGTATTAGAATTTAATTTCTCGTATTGTTTTGCTAGAATGCATCTTCCTCCTCTCCCCCAAATTCCCCGAGTAATCAAGATTTGACTAGTACTGGTATAGTTTTCAGTAGACTGCTAACTTTCCATGGGCACAGTCATTTGTGTTAGAAGGGACCTTCAAAGATTTAGTCCACTCCCCCTGCCATGGGCAGGGACATCCTTCACCAGATCAGGTTGTTCAAAGCTCCATCCAACCTGACTTTGAAGGCTTCCAATGATGGGGCATCCACACCTTCTGAGCAACCTGTTCCAGCACGCCACCGCCCTGCCAACTTTTAAGAGCAACCTACCTTTTCTTTATTCGCAAATCCCCAGATTGCAGCAGCAATTTCAAGGGCAAAAATCACAAAAAGGAAGAGGAAGAACTGGAAAAGAAAGACCACATTATTAATTAAGACCACAGCACCACAAGACAGCATCACACATATACTGCAAGCTTGTCTAGTTCCCAGCATTCAGCCTTGTGGGAACCGTCACTCAACCAGTTTCCATTTGGAGGTCTGAAACACCAGTAAGACTAGGAAAGAGGACACACTGCACTGGGTCAGCACTTCCCAAGAGTTTTGGAAAGCCCGGCAGTGTTTTCCAAGCAGAAGTCATCCTTTTTGATCAGTGTCAATTAAAACCAATCATCCATTCACTCAGCCTTTGAAGTTGCCCAGGTGTCTGGGACGCACCATAATAGTTGACACTAATTCTTTTCTCTGGTTTGTCATCCCTATTGCTTTAGGAGCCATTACTTAATACCTAGCTTGCCACCAACTCCCAGAGAGCCAATAGTCACTTCTTTGTTGTGTATCCCATACAACAGAAGAAGTATATTCTCTGTGTTTAGTTGACTACCAGGCCCAAAACATCACTACCATTTAAAGGCACTTTAAAGAGAGATGTTCAGAATTACAGAGGACTAGAAGAATCATTTTGCAAGAAAGACATCAAATTAAATTCCTCCGTGACACAGAAGAGGAATTGTTCTTTCACTGGCTATAGTAGTCTTTTATTAACTAAGTCTTCTGGTTATTTGGATGAGTAGTTCCACAAGTGTACAGATGTGCATGAACCCAGCAAGCTCCACTGGCCCCTCCAGTTTGAAAACAATGAGGTTGCTCTCCAATAATTGGCTTGCAGAGCAGTTGTCAACTAGAAGAGTTCATCCTGTGATTACGAACAGTAGAGGCTTGTTGTTTCAAGGATCAAATAGCACAGTTCTAGTCTCAAAGATTAAAGATTGCACAGCCTGCAGAGTTCAGGACAAGCTGTTTAACAAATAGCATTACTCTTATCAACATTTCAGTTCTGTGTTCACACATACTCCTAGTCTTGATACATAAATGTCTAAACGTATCACTAACTCCTGAAATCATGCTGTATTCAAATACAGCATGGACATTTGGAATTAGGGCCCCAAAATGGAAACTATATTTAATATTTTAGTATTATGTAGGTGACCATGAGTTTAAACATTGTGGAGCCTAAACAATCAGCATCTGCTGCCCTTTAACTGCACAGTAATACTTTGCTTCCTTTCTCATCATGCTGCTAAAAATTTAAACACTACTCTGAACACTTACCAGGCCAAGCATACATTGAGATTCCTGCAGCGCACCACAGCATCCCAAGAAACCAACCAGCATCATAAGTGCACCAGCTCCAATAAGGATGTAAACTCCTAGGGAAGAGAAACAGAGACATGTATACAGGCTAGCTGAGACCTCAGCAGCAAGGCATAGAATTTGTTGCTCCACAAGCAGCATTTATAGCTTTTGCCAAGGTTCAAGTTTCTTTACTGAGGTGTTTCAAGCAAAAAAAGGGCTGTGCTTAGTTTTCAAAAACACATGTCAAAATTTGTGGGGAAATGTATTGATAAAGAAAAACTTCAACTTACAACAATTAATGTGCACCATACTGTTGTCACACAAGTTTTAGAAGATGGGTAACAAAGCCATCTTAGTCAAAGTGTATGACACTTTTTAAAACTGGCTCAGAGCCAGAGTTATCAACTTATCTTCAGATGAAGAGTGTTGCAGTTAGAGACAGCTGGAACTAATGATTTATCAGCATCTGAATTCCTGAAGCATGCTAGCTCTAGGAGAATGGGTATTAAAAGGCATCATAATCATCCGTCATAAAGCTTTAAATGATTTCCTACCCTACTTTTCCATCAGGAAACACTGAATTATCCCACTGGTCATGGTGGTACAACACACTTCAGGTACACTTCAGTTGCCCAACTTGACAGCCTCTCCAACTACAAGAAATTCTGCATTTTCTGCTTTTGCAAAAGCAAGTGCTTTTCCAAATTGTATCAAGTGGCTGAGCCCACAGACCATTCTGCCCAGAATTTAAGTAGCAAGTGCGCTGGAGTATAGAGGGCAAACATTTGTGGCCTAGAAGACTTCATTTATGTCCAACCCTCTCCTCCTAAGCTCAGGAACTGCCAGCTTAAGCATTACAGCTGCTAGCTGGTGAGAGCAGCGAGATGGAGTGAGCAAAACAACTCCCAGAGGATGGCAAGACAGTATTATTGGGGTGGTGAAATGCGAGACAAAGAATCAGCACAAAGCATATAGAATTAGTATGAGACTTCTATCAATAGAAACAAAAATACCAGTTCTGGCCTTCAGAGACCCAATCAATACTATTTAAAGAAAGCCATACCTAAGCATTTGCTAATAGTATTTTCTAGATGCAAACTGATCAGATAGCCACCAAAATAAACATCTGCTTAAGCATATGTAAGTGATTAAGCCTGACATTTCTTACCAGCAGGAAATTCCAGCACCAATTATTTTATCCCAACTTAACCACTTTCCATTTTGAAAGAGTCCACCAGAACCTCTTATTTCAGTAGTACAGAACACTTCTGAGGTAACCTGCCTTGCTACTAGGTGCAAATTGACAGATTCCTTCAATTTCCCATTGGAAACTGTGTCAGTAACTACTCCCAAAAAAATATGTTAAAAGAGTAATTCCTACTAAACTTTTTTAAAACTCAGTTTAACCCACAGAGATTTCAAGTAGGTTTCACTGTTTTGCTGCATTTGACCAGTAGCTTCAGTATCATATCATAAAACTTTTATGTTTTAGGAGGTTGAAGAGTTGTTTTAGACTACCCAGTGTAAGACTTGTCAAATATTCAGCTCAGCAGCTAAGTTTAGATTTCTGTTCCCTTTGCAAGGTCCGGTTAAAAGCATCTGGAAATCTTCCTGCGAGCTGCAAGAACAGCCCAGTTTGCTACCATGCCAGCACATCAAGTGTGAAATAGAAGCTTTCTTGCAGATAAGGCATCTTCATGATATCACACATTTCAATATTCACAGCTACGGTTTCCAACAAGCCTAACTCCACATTCCTAACAGTACTGCCTGTAGGCACAGCCACCCTGGTACTGTAAGGCTGCAACACAAATTGTGCCTACCAGCACGCCTTACACAGTCCTTACTGACCCTTTAGGCACCAGTTTAGGTGTTGTGACAGATGGAGCAGCTCAGCAGAAAAGTCACTTTCCTTGGCAAGAGAAAGGCCAACCATGCTGTGGATGGCTAACAAGTGACACCATACAGGACACTGCACATCCAGGTGCTACAGTGATGTGAAATGTAGGTATAAGGATTGTCCAAATCAAAGATGACAGGCATGCAGGTAAAAAAAGTGCATATTTGAATTTGTTTTGTTCTCAACTGTCAGAGGTCTTCAAACTCAGCTACCAGGTTTCAAAGAAGGTTTGGGCACCTACGAGTGACAACTGAAGCAGCATGTGTTCCTCTGCTCAAGCCTAAAAGTGCCTATAGAGATCAAAATCTTAGTCAGGACAAAATCCCATTCAGTTAAGAACTCCTACAACATTAGAATAACAAACTGAAAACACACTTTTATCCCCTTGCAAAACAGAATATATCAAGGAATAACTTCCATCTGGCCTAATTAAAGCTACATTGATCTAGGTTGCCTGTAATAGTTGCTCATATAGACCAAGATATTTGTGCATCCTTGCCATTATGTTCTGTACAAATTAGCATACATAGGGCTGTAATAGTTAGACAATAGTACGTGTGCTCCTTCTGAGAGAAGAGGCAATAGACTTGTGGTTTGGGGTAGCTTAGGTTGGTCACTTTGGAGGAAAAAGTTAGCTATTAATGTCATCTGTGACTACTCATTTAGTTTAGAGTGAAACTTTGCTGACTCATATTGTGAGCAGTGTCAGGAAGAGACATCCTCTGTGTCTGCCAGGAGCCCCTGGGATTACAACACGCTTACCCAACAGCACCCAAAGAGGAACTGCAGGGTTTAAGCTGGGAAAAAGATGAAGTGACATACAATGCACATGAAGCCAGTAAACCGCTAGTGTGACACTGCTGCTGTCTGCATGAGCGCACGTGGCAGGGGCTGGACCCCTGCACCAGCCAGGGAAAGCTGCTCTCTGCCCCACAGAGGCTCTTCAGGGCTGCTTTGTCTTCAGGCTTCAAGGGAGATGAAGGTTCCTAAGCAATCTGGGAATCAGGGTGTAACAGCGTGATCCATCACCCTGGGCCATCTCCTAGCTTACCTGTGTAAAACGTTGTGTTGTTGGATTCCAGTTCAAAGATGCTTTTGGTCTGTGAATCAAACCGAAGCCATAGTCCAATTGCAAGAACTGCTGTCCCTGCAAGCTGTAAGAACAAGTAAGCCTTGTTAAATAATACCAATTAATACACCCACCCTTGCATTAGTAATGACGTCAGAAGAAAACACAGGATACAGTTCTGTTATTTGAAGAGGTGGTGACAAAGAACCAGCATAAAGGGATGCAGATACCGAAACAAGAACAAACAAGATGCCTGATGTCAGGAACTAAGCTGACAGATGCATTTACATAGTAAACTACCACACACAACAACAATGCTATTCTTGTTCTTCACAAAATAACCAAGGTCTACCAAAGCGTCAAGTGTCAGTATTTCCACTGACCCCTCCACCCAGTGTTTTATTCTGGGTGACTAATGACGTTGCATGGCTTAGTGATCTTCAATCTCCACAATGAAAGACAACTGAATCACAAGAAAAAGCACCTCGTAAGGCCAGCTGAAAGTTTCAGCACATTGAACAGACTGGTAAGGTTTCAATGCAGTGCAGTACAGAGTTTCGAGTGCTCTTTCTTGCAAAGCAGGATAAAACCAATCTAATAAGTCACTGCACTGACAGAAAGGACACACAGGCTGCTGAAAGAGCAACATTGCTGTATGTTGATCTGGAACAAGGCAATCAAGTTTTAGACAATATTTAGTTTTATTACATTGTCTCTGCCCATGTGCCTCCAGGTTCCTTTTAACATCAGTGCCTGTGTTTGCAGCAAGCTGTTGTGGGTACAAATTAGCTTCTGGATGAAACATCTGGCAGAATGCACCAGAGAAGTGTTACAAGAAAGAGGGAATTCCACTCTGGTAAGGCAAATGCTAAGAGTTTGCTTTGAACACACTGAATCCTCCCCACTTTGAAAAGAGAAAGCCTGGGGTAGTCTTGCATGCAAAAAGGAAAAAGAAACTAGGACAAACTAGAAAGCTGGAGAGTGTGCTTCTGAGTTCTTTCGTTCCTTTGAAGACCACTTAACTACCAAAAAAAGTGCTACAAAAGTGAGATGAGGACAGAAATACCACACATTGCAGCAGACATTAAAAATTTAGACATAAGAGTGAGCAATAAGTTTAGAAACTCTTGAGCTTTGGTTAGACTAAGTATGCACAAAAACAAAACCCAAAGCCTTATCTCTGATAAAAAGTTCCTTCCAGAAGGGAACAACATTCTTGACTCACCTCCAAGAAACTAGAGAGTGTTTACTTTAAAATGTTAATTTTCAGTAAGCATGTGGAAAACATTCCCACTGACAGCATGGTACAGGTGTACTCCTTCCACACCAAGCTGACCTCCCCAGCCCCATGCTCTCCCCACAGGGAGCCCAGGAGCCCTTTCTCCCTGCTACAGGAACGCTTGTGCACACTGAAGGCAGGCACAGCTTTGCTGGCCACGTCCATCTCTGCTAGACTCCTATGCTTGCTCTTCCAACAAAAATAAGGAAAGCTTTGAAGATTCATGCAGGACAAAGAGGATGGAGGTAAGTGAAGGTTTAAGGGAAGGTATATCCCACGTAGCTTCTCAGCAGAAAGCATCCCAGCCAAAGTGCTAAAGGGCTCAGGTATCACTGAAGAAAGAGAGGGTCAATTCACACAGGAATATTGGATATAAAAAGGAAATTCTTTACTACGAAGGTGGTGAGACACTGGAACAGGTTGCCCAGAGAAGTGGAACACTTCCCCATCCCTGGAAGTATTCAAGGCCAGGCTGGACAGGGCTTTGAGCAACCTGGTCTAGTGGAAGGTGTCCCTGCTCAGGGCAGGCGGGGGGCGGGGTTGGAACTCGATGAGCTTTAAGGTCCCTTCTAACCCCAAACCATTCTGTGGTTCTATGAAGGCAGCCGTGCAGGCAAAACCAGCATTTCTTGTACAGCAGGCACCTGACTCCCAAGCCTGCCTCAAAGAGAAGCTGGAGGGTTTCAGCTGGGAAAAAGATGAAGCGATACGCAACGCCTAATGAGCCAAACCCAAGCAGAGGTTTCCAGACCTACGCCAAAGGCACTCCGTCGGTGTCACAGGTGCGTAGGCACAGGCTTACTCACAAAGCATGCAGCAAGAACAAAGCCTGCACATACCTACTGCCTTCCTTGTTAGGGCTATGCTGACAAAATGATTTTAAATTATGCCCAAGAACCTTGGTAGTACACAGTGTGTCACAACAGCATTATTGTTTCCAGTTACTGTGCTTCAGCAGCACCTGGAGGAAGGGAGAGGTGCAAGGAGGGGACTGGCAGAGAGAAGGGCTGCTGTTCTCCCTGCGCTCACTGCTACAGCATCACTTAAAAAAAGCCTTTGCCATCTCATCTCACTTCAGTTCAAAAGCCAGGAGGGCTTAGTGATGGAAAAAACACGCGCGCTGCTTCTAGCCTACAGTTAAGTCACCTAGTATTTAATAATACTCCATTTGAGACTCACTTTCCCATGTCAAACAGCCTTCAGCTTTTATAGGCATCCAGCTCTGGAGCCTACAGCAGAAGAAACCCACAGCCTCCGCTCGTTTTGCTAGAAACTCGCGAGCTGCAAAGCCATGAGCCTGAACTCACCCAGCTGTCTGCACCTACCTGTGTTTGCGGTTTGACAAGCCTCAGTGTTCAAGTAGGGAGCTCAGGGCAGCACTGCCAACAGAGCAGGGCACAAAGGTCTGTGAAACTAAAACCCAGAGCTGATCCCTCAGCACACCTTCAAGGCCAGAGCATTCAAATTGTGAAGTCACTCCAAGCCATATCACAACCAAGGTACGTAATCTTACAAGCCTGAGCAAAGCAGAAGGCTCAGTTAACCATCTCTGAGAAACAATCTGGTTAACATTAGGGAGAGCTGATATAGTAAAGATGGCTCCTTTTAAAAAACAAACTTAACTGGGAGGGGGAAGGGTTAAGCATCATGTTTTCTCCTTGGGAAAGCAGTCATCCTGTGAAAAGAGTTGTGATCCCAGGGAGGCCAGAGACGACTTATGCAATCACAGAATAGTGAGAGTACTTGGTGTCAGTGAACTGCTCCACATCACCAAAAGAATCGTAGGATAAAATAAAGTGATAATTCCCTCCATGGTGGACCAGAAAAAACCCACGCAGCTTCTTCTTGCAAGAAAGTGACTTTTTGTCTCAGTTTCATAAAAAAAGTAAACTTGTGTTCTCAGTTTGTGCTCTTCCTACCCACAATGACCACTGAACTAAAAAAAGGCACTTTTAAAGCAGAAGGCAAGAAAGTAATTTGAAACTTCAAGTTTTCAAGAAAACAAGTACGGAGTAGGGCACCAACACAAGCACAGCCCCTCCGGGCACCCGTTGCTTGGCAGCGGCTCAGACCAAGCCGGCACACCGGAGCCTGCTCACCAGTGCTACGCCAGCAGGTTTTGGCAGCCGCGTTGGGGTGGGTTTGGTAGCTGTGTTTTTCCTCCCCAATAAAGGGGTGCAAGCCGCCCTCTCCCTGGACTGCACGGAGGCACATCCCCTGAGGAGCTCGTGGTTGGGATTTCAATCCATGTGTTTTCCCAATCTAACAGACCTGTTTTGTCACAGGAGTTTAGTAACACAGGATATTTCTAAATAGATCTATCCTGTGCTGAAAAAGAACAAAGCTGTCTGTTTTCCTAAAGCTAGTCACTTTGTGTGCAAAAACCTACAGAACTAAGAAAAGTAAGTTGTGCACTTAAACATGTAAAAAGTATGTTTCTGTAGTAACAAGTATAAGAAAGGGAACTCGGAAGACAGGGTTTTTTTTCACCAGTCTGAAAAAATATGAAGTTAAAGGGGTATTACTCACTCACTGTATTGGAAAAGTTTGTGGCAGCGATCCTCCAGCAACAACACATCCTGGCACAAGCATGCTACCGACATCCCTGCTCCAGCTAGCTAGGCAGGCTTCCTTGTGTTTTCACTAACCACTACTAAAAATATTACAGCTCCCTTCTATCCTACAGCTCCAGTGGACATATGCCAAGCAAGGATAAAAAGCCCTGCTCACTCCTCCTCTAATTCTACAGAGGCTCCTTTTTTTTGCATCACACGCAAGCACACCCCCATTGCCTCAAAGGCTCTCTCTACTCCTGCATGCATCTTTCTGCCTGTTGCAACAGGAAAAAAACAGCCTTTCTGGTCTGTCTTCCTTCCTCATGCAGCTCTGTGCCTTCTCTAGTGAGCCTCTGCGCAGGGCTTCCCTCCTCCCACCCATCCAGCCCCACACCCTGACAAGCGCCTTCTCCAAAGTCAGCCCTTTCCATTGCTCAGCTGTGGTTTGCGAGGGGCAGGCTGGAGGTTTGGCCTCTGAGCATATCTTGCATGCTGTCAAGCCATTTCCCCTGTATTTTCTTCCCCTTTAACACCTGAGGTTCATATATACAGTCTCCTAGCAGAAGGCTTGCAACAGGAATCTTTAGATTTAACGATACTGGTATAAACACATTACCCTGTATTTTCTTCCCCTTTAACACCTGAAGTTCATATATACAGTTTCCTAGCAGAAGGCTTGCAACGGGAATCTTTAGATTTAATGATACTGGTATAAACACATTGAAAGCTTGAGCTTTTCAAAGTAGAAATTCCAATTTTTGTTAACCTATCCCATGATACAGCAGTGTACGACACTACTTTGGGAAACTGGAAAGTTCCTTTTAGGTTTAACCACTATTTTGCGAGGACCATTTTGTTCAGTCCTTCTGAGCTTGTCACCTGGAGAAGCCACAATCCCCAGGCAAGCACCCCACTTGCTGCAGACACCTTACAGCATCCTACCTCTGCAGACAGGAGCACCTCTCAAGGGCCTCAAGGTCCAAGCAGTTAGCAAGCCCTCAGAGCTGGCAGATAAAGCTTTGGGAGGAGAACACCCCCTCTTCCCCCCAGCATCCACCAGGTTACTGCCAGCCCTTCCTCCACTTCCACAGGATGGAGGCAGGGACAGAGAAGAAACAAGACACTGCAAGAACTCCTGATAGATGGATCAAAGCCTGTAAAAAAGCCTTTGTACTGGAAACTATGGAATCTGCTATTTTAACAGACTCAAGCCAAGCTTACATGCAACTTCTATGAAGTTCACGGCATTAC